AGCCAAGCAGTGGGGGGGCCCCGGTCCCCCCAAAAAAAAAAAAAAAAAAAAAAAAAAGGCTATTTTTTCTATCCTGCTACCCTCTTGGAAAAGCAAGCTGTAGTCCTCATCCAGTCACTTACCGGTTGTGTGACCTTGAACTGGTAAATTAATCTCTGAGAGCCTTAGTTTCTGCCTTTGTAAAGTGTGGATAATGATGCTTATCTGTTCAAGTTGTTTGGAGGATGTCGAATGGCATTTGCACAGCCCCCAATGCCCAGCGCCTAGTAGATGCTCAATAAATGTCAGCTCTAAGGGGCATCCTCCAAGGTGGGGAATCCCTTTGTACTCAGCTGGGAGGCACTGACCCCATCATTACAAACCAGACCCAGCCCTGTGGGCTCCCTCCCGCCACACCTGGGAGAACAGAACTCTTTTCTAACACACCCCCCTCTGCCTTCCTCCTCTTCCTTCTCGGTGGGCTGGTCAGCTGAGGAAGTGCTCTGTCCCACCTAAAACTTGTGCCCAAAAGAGACTCACCCACACCATCGTTCCAGAGTCATCTTCTAAAGCCTGTACTAGAAACTTCTGTCTTTCAGCAGATAACTCCTCTATATCCAGAAATAATGAAAAATGCTGGATTTTTTGGGTAAAATATTAAATTTAAAAAATCAAGCTACAAATGTATATAAAATAAGGTCCTAATTTTATAAAGTGTATAAACATATTCAGACACATAGATTCAAAGAAAAAAGATGAGAAGGAAATAAGGAGAAATCTATAATTATTACTTCAAAGTGGTAAGCTGATGCAGGCTTTTGTATTTGTTTGTTTATTTGTTTGGCTTTGCCTTTATGTGTTTTGGAAATTTTTACAATGAAAAATAAAACTTGAGTATTATTTATTCATTTGTTTCTCTATGCATTCCTGAGGGAGAAGTCAGGATAAAGGACGTTTCTGTTGGCTGCTGTGTTCCTCGCAGGTCTACACCGTCTCTCCCCCAGGGTGGGCCCCCATCTCTCCTTGCCCTTTCATGCCGTCCAGGCAAATTCATTTTTGGCATTTTTGCTCCCAGTTCCACGTCTCTGTTCATTTGCCATCACATCCTTGGGACCATGTCAGGCTCTGGAGCAGAAAGAGTCCCCCTCTCCTCACTCGCCTCCTCCAATCCCACCTTCCTCGAGAGTCCTCCTGAGCCTGAGGCAGACCTGAGAGCCTCCCCCAGCCCCCGCCCACCCTGTTAGCCCCCTCCCCAATCCACGTGGGCCTGCTTCCCTTTCTACTCCAATTATATTGATTCAACCAAGTGTCAGAGAAGTAAAAGTTAGGACAGAAGGTGGGAAGGGTGGGGGAAATGGACGAAAACCGTAAAATCCCACAAAAGTGTCATTAAGTTTGCATAACCCTGGTGAATCTAGGCCACACAACTGGCAGCTACAGAGTCTCAAAAAGACACAACCAAAAGGGATTCAAATGGTCCTTTTTCTCTGACGCCTAGCAGGAGACAGGAGAATGTGCATCCAGATCAGAGGAAACAGGTGCCTCCCCCTCCATGAGGACACACGCTTTCCAAAGAAAAGCATTGCATTACAAGGTCCCTTCCAGAGCAGAGAAAAGAAACACCCAGTCTCAGGGTAAGCAGAGCCCTGTCCCAGAGCCATCCCTGCAGGGACCTTATTTACCTTGGCTTTTCTGTTCTCTAACTCACAGACTTAATTAATTAAGCACTCTCTCTCTCTGGCTATGTGTCTTTTTGTTATTATTCAATGTATTTAACTAAAATAAAACAAAAACTGTTCATCTATTTCTCCCCCCGCCAACCCCCTGCCTCTGACAACCACCAATTTGTACCTATGAGCCTAGTTTCATGACAACCACCAATTTGTACCTATGAGCCTAGTTTCATATGTATTTATATATGTATATTATATAAATACATATAATATCATATATATATATATATATATATATATGGATTCTACATGTAAGAGAGATCACACAGTATTTGCCTTTCTCTGACTTATTTCCCATAGCATAATGCCCTCGAAGTCCATCCATGTTGTCACAAATGGCAGGATTTTATTCTTTTTTATGACTGAATAATATTCCACCACATGTATATGCACACACACACACACACACCTTATTATATATATATATATGGAATTTATCCATTTCTTCTAGATTGTCCAATTTGTCAGCATATAATTTTTCATAGTAGCCTCTTACGAACCTTTGCATTTCTGTGGTATCAGTTAAAAAATCTCCTTTTTGGGGGCTTCCCTGGTGGCGCAGCGGTTGAGAGTCCGCCTGCCGATGCAGGGGACACGGGTTCATGCCCTGGTCCGGGAAGATCCCACATGCCGCGGAGTGGCTGGGCCCGTGAGCCGTGGCCGCTGAGCCTGCGCGTCCGGAGCCTGTGCTCCGCAACGGGAGAGGCCACAGCAGTGAGAGGCCCGCGTACCGCAAAACAAAACAAAACAAAACAAAAATCTCCTTTTTCATCTCTGATTTTATTTATTTGAGTCTTCTCTCTTTTTTTTCTTGGTGAGGCTAGCTGAAGGTTTGTCAATTTTGATCTTTTCAAAGAAGCAGCTCTTAGTTTCTTTGATCTTTTCTATTATCTTTTCAGTCTCTAGTTCATTTATTTCTGCCCTAATCTTTGTTATTTCCTGCCTTCTACTAATTTGGAGCTTTGTTTGTTCTTCTTTTTCTAGTTCCTTGAGGTGTAAAGTTAGGTTGTTTGAGACATCTCTTATTTCTTGAGGTAGATATTTATCACTATGAGCTTCCTTCCTAGAACTGTTTTTGCTGCATCCCGTAAATTTTGGTATGTTATATTTCCACTTTCATTTGTCTCAAGGTACTTTTTTATTTCTCTTTTGATTTCTCCTTTGAACCATTGCTTGTTCAGTAGCATGTTGTTTAATCTCCACACGTTTGTGAATTTTCCAGTTGACTTTGTGTGATTAATTTCTAGTTTCATACTGTTGACAGAAAAGATGTTTGATATAATTTTAATCCTCTTCAGTTGATTAAGACTTGCTTTGTGACCTAATATATGATCTATCTCAGAAAATGTTCTGTCACATGAGAAGAATATGTATTCTGTTGTTTTTGGATGGAATATTCTGTAAATATCTGTTAAGTCCACCTGGTCTGATGCGTCCTTTAAGGCTGATGTTTCCTGATCAATTTTCTGTTTTGGTGATCTATCAGTTGATGTAAGTTGGGTGTTAAAATCCCCTACTATTATTGTATTGCTGTCTATTTCTCCCTTTAGATCTGATATTTGTTTTTTATATTTAGGTGCCTCTATGTTGGGTGCATAAATATTTACAAATATTATATCTTCTTGTTGGATTGACCCTTTTGTTATTATATAATGCCCTTTCTTTGTCTCTTATTACAGTCTTCGTTTTAAAGTCTATTTTGTCTGATGTAAGTATAGCTATTCCAGCTTTCTTTTGGTTTCCATCTGATGTTGTCCCATAAGTCCCTTAGGCTATTTTCTCTTTTTTTTTTCATTCTTTTTTTCTTTTTGCTGCTCTGATTGGGTGAGTTCCACTGTCCTGTCTTCAGGTCCACCGATCCTTTCTTCTGCTTCATCTAGTCTGATTTTGCACCCCTATAGAGAATTTATTCAGTTTAGTTATTGAGTTCTTCAACTCTGTGACTTCTGTTTGGTACTTTTGCATATCTTCCATCTCTTTGTTGAAGTTCTCACTGTGTTCATCCATTCTTCTCCCCAGTTCAGGGAGAATATTCATGACCATGACTTTGAACTCTTTATCAGATAAATTACTTATCTCCATTTCATTAGGGTTTCTTTTCCCCCTGAGGTTTTATCTTGTCCTTTCATTTGGAACACATTCCTCTGTTTCTTCGTTTTGCTTCCTCTGTGTTGGTTTCTATACAGTAGATGAAACCACCACCCCTTAAAGTCTTGAAGGAGTGGTCTCATGTAAGAGATGAACATTTTCCTTCAGCCCTGCCTCAACTCCTGGTTGTCTTTTAAGCCTCTGTGCTTGTCCAAGCAGCCTATCATATTTCTAATAGCTCCCAGTAGTTGAGGGTGTGCCAAGACCTGTGAGTGTCCCAAAGGGACACTGACACTGACACTGACACACTGACAAGGTGGTGACTCTCAGTCACCATCTTGATCCAGGCTAACTGGAAGCCAGACTCTCAGGCATCAGCTTTTAAACATATGCAAATACGTACAGTCTTCTGGGACCACAAGCATAAGCCTCACTGTCCAACAGGTCCAGGTGATCTGGAGGTGCCCCCTGTGAGGCAGTCACAGATATCAGGGCTCAAGATGAGTGTATAAACTCTCTTCTGGGTGATACCTGTGAGCGGCAGCAAAGCAGAGGAAGAAAGCCAGGACGGCACCCACAGCCTACATTCCTTGAGAGAGGTTCCATAGGCCTCTAAATGTGTGTCAAACCTGAAAACTGCCTTTCAGGCCAAAGGACAAGCAAATAGTTCTTTTTCATAGAAAGACTGGGGTGTGTGCCTCAGTCCACAGCCTGAGTACCCTGGGGGTGGTAACCTGCCAAGAATCATCTCTTCAACCACCACAGTCCCATGGGACTCAGGAACACAAGCCCCCTGGCCACGAGAGCCAGGCGGTCTAGGGGCGCACCCTGGGTGGCAACTGCAAAATCCGATATTCCAGGCACAGAAACCAGGGCACTGGATACATGCAAAGCCCCCCTCCAGGAGACACTGGCCTCTGGGTCACAGCAGAGGATGAGCGCAAAGATAACGTCACCCTCCGAGGTCTCAGGAAAGGTCCACAGTCAGCCCTTGGCTGTGTGTTTAATCAGAAGGCTGCTCCTCTGGCTGCAGCTATAATAATCAGCTAATAGGCCTCCAAGCTCCAAGGGACCTGTTGCCTCTTGCTGTGCTCTGGAGGTGGCAGCTGTTTAAGAACTATTTCTCTGTCGGTCACCGTCCTGGGGGATCCAAGAGTGTAAACCCCACTGGCCGCCAGAGCCAGGTGATGTGGAGGAGTGCCCTGGCATCAGTCGCAAAAATCAGGGTGCCGGCCTGGGTTGTGAGCTCCTTTCTGGTGACACCGATTATTACAGTCCCTTGGCCTCCAGGGCTAGGTGATCAAGAGGTGTGCCCCAGGCAGCAGCCTCAAAAATTGGGGCATGGACATGTGCAAAAGCATCCATCCTGGAGACACTGATGTTCGGGAAGCACAGCAAAGGGAGAGAGGAAGACCACACCCACCCATCTGCATCTTGGAGAGCGTTCCAGCAGACTCCTAGATGCAATGCTAAATTAGATGCTGGTCCCTCCAGCCAATGCTTTAATATAAGCAGGGGAGTGTTCTTCCTTTAAGTCTGGAGGCAATGGGCTGCTCTGAGCTGGGCCATGGGATGGGCAAGTCTAAGTGCAGGAGTCCTTTAAGAGCCATCTCACAGATTGCTAGTCTTATGGGTGTCAGGACCCAAGACCCGTGGGTTTTCAAAGCCAGAGGTTTTGGGGGGTTCATGTGTCCCACATGTCAGGATGCCTGATGTGGGGTCAAAACCCCTCATTCCTCAGGGAGAAACTCTGGGTTCCGAGTTCCCTCCCGGCTGTGAGATGCACACCAGGGGTGGGGTTTGTGTGAGATTGGGTCCCAGCCTCTCCTACCTGCCTCGATGTGGTTTTCTTGTTTGCCCAATGTGACGTTATCACTCAGCCAGCCTTTAGGATTTTTAAGAAGAAATGGTTCCATGTGTACTTGTAGACTCGGTGTATTCATGGGAGGAGGGGAGTTCAGCATCTTCTGGCATCGCCATCTTGAGCCAGTCATGCAAAGACTTTTAATACACTGGTTTCTTTTATTCCAGCTGTGGCTTCAGAGCTGACTTGCATCCCCTGTCTAGAGGTCATTTATAATCACAAATATCAGCAGTGATGACAAAGTTCAAGGTATTACTTATTAGAACACGAGTACAAGAGAATGCCTGATTCAGTCTAAAGTTTTCTCTTATTAAACTTGGGTTATTTGTCTCTCTTCTTGCTGCTATTTCAGGGGAAAGCACTGCCAAATCGAGTTTTTCCATATTTGACTCAAAGGGATTGACAGTAGAAGTTGATCCTTGTTATAACACTGGTGCCAACAGCTGGCCTAGTATAAGTGTTCACAGCCAGATTTTCAAATTCCAGTAACCAAGAGCCCATAATGAAAAGACTCTTACAAATCTCTCTCTCTCTGAGGCCTCTGGCCAAGAAAAGCAGGAACCTTTGATATCCTCTGGAGCCAGAAGGATCTAAGGATGGACTGGAGACAGACAAGAGTCCTGGCAAGGAACTCAACTGGGTCCACTTATTCAAAGCATGTCTGAGACGAAGTCTCTCCACTGCTGGGTTTGCCAGACCACTCCAGCCTAGGGCCAGGGCAAGCTGGATTTCAGAACAGTTGCCTGTTTATTCTACCACATTGCACTCTGTTAGTGACCGGCCAGCTGGTCTATTTGCCCAAAGAGGCCCAACCCAGCCACAGCCAGCACCACCGCTCCCTCAGGGGCCTTGGCTGTTCCAAGTGGAACCGGTCCTGGACTGCCTTTATTTTTTCAATCCTCTCTGTACATAAGCAGGATGTTTAGAAACACTCAAGATGGCCAGGGAGCTGCTGTGTTGGCCATTGATTCTCACTTGGAGAGTCGTTCTGATCAGTATCAGTGGACCTGCTTCTGCCATGGCTCTGGATATAGCCCAGGACAGCTGAAACCTCCCTCTCTCTCTCTCTAAGAAAACTTGACTACAGGGAGCTCACACTGGTAGGGGTGAGGTAAAAGAGATGCCTTCACTTTTTAGGGGTGTCTCTTATTACAGTCTTAAGAAATCTTCCCTGATCCCAGAGTGTTCAAGGGAGAAAGGTGAGTCTCATAGGTGGGGACATTATTCCCTTTGGAGAGTTCTTCTCAGCCTCCTAAGGGCTGTGGTAGGATCCAAAGAAGAGTCCTCTATGGAAAACAGCCTGTCCGTGATTAAAGGTCTGTTGGGCAAAGTGTTCATGAGTAAAGACCCCCTATTGTTCCCTCTAGATTGAACAGAAAGATGCACAAGAGCAGGGTTGCCATTGATCAATAGAGCCAGTGCCTGCTCCCCTGGAGCTGAGTTCATCCCAGATGCAAAGGTCCTAACATCTGAGGATGGAGATTGGAAAACCTCAGGCACATTGAGAAAGCCAGAGTCCTCCTGCAGGGAAGGGACTAAGGGCAGAGGCAGCCACACGTAGAGGCCCCTTCTGCTGGCTCTTTCACACATTCCTGCTTGGCCCACCCCCAGTCCAGAGCTCCCTGAGGGCTACCCAGCACCATGGGGCCTCCTGCAGCAACTACTGCAGGCAAGATTACCCCCCTGCCCACCCCGCCACTTCCATCATCCTGCAAGATCTGCTGTCCTGTTAACACTGCTCGTACCCACACAGCCACATCCGTCCCGCAGGGTCCTCCATCACCCAAATTGGCTGTGCAGTGGCCATGCCTTTTGCCCCCGAGTCAATTCCTTTCTGCCCCTTCAGTCTATCTTCCCTGTTCCCTAAGCCATGATGGGCAACTCCACGAGTGCAGTGTTCTAGCCCAGTGCAGCAAAACAAGGCTCGGCAGGTAGCCAGTCCCCAGAGCAGTAGCCCTCCCGGGACCCAGCGTCTGGCTGCAACTGGCGAAGGGAAGCCCTCATGAGAGTGGCAGGACCCATGGCTTAGGAAGCAGAGGATCTGTCCTAGAGCCTCTTCACAGAATCTGTGGCGCCTCTGCTGCACCCTCTACAAATCTGTGCAGAAAGACTCCAGCAGGTGGTGAAGGGGTTCCATGATGGGGTTTGGGGTGGGACTTTTGGAAGAAAGGGGTTCCCCAGATTATGACGCTGGAGCTTTGTGCTACTTACAGATTCCTCTTCTGGCCACCGTCGTCGTAACCCACGGTCCCAGATTTTGCCCTTTCCTGCACGGATCAGAGGAAAGTGGGGAAATACACTTTACTCCACCTTCAGCCGAACACACCTGCCCTTGAGAGAAGCTCTTGATTAAAAAGTCACTGGGGACAAATTGTTCAAGATACTTATAACCGTGAGAAGCCCCGTGCCCCGGCAGGAGCCTCCAGACACTGTGTCCAAGCGGCTGTCCACGCAGCCACAGCTCTCCCGGCCAACCACAGCCCAGGTACACACAGACTTGAGAAGAAAAGACCACTGGGAAACTCGTTTGCCAAAGGCAATTTTAAAAGCTTGGCAAATGCGTGACAACATGGATAGACCCGGAGGACATTATGCTAAGTGAGATAAGCCAGACACAGAAGGACACATGATCTCATTTACATATGGAATCTAAAAATAGTCAGATGCATAGAGGCGGAGAGTAGAATGGCAGTTGCCAGGGGTCGGAGAAGGAGGAAGTAGGGAAATAATGGTCAAAGGGTATAAAGTTTTAGTTATGCGAGATGAATAACTTCTGGGGATCTACTATACAGTCTAGTGCCTATAGCTTACGATTCTGTATCTTATACTTAAAATTTTCCTAAGAGGAAAAATCTTACGGTGAGTGTGCTGGTAATAATAATAATATTAATAATAATAATGGCAAAAGAAAACCTTGGGAGGTAATGGATGTCTGTAGCCTTGAAGGTAGTGATAGTTTCCCGGGTTATACTTACGCCAAACTCGTTAAATTGTGCGCATTAATTGTGTACATGTCATTCATACCTCAATGAGGTGGCTTTAAAAATTTTGGCAAAAAAGAAAAAAAAAGACAAAGTTTTTATAAGGAAATCCTGAAAGAAACTTGTTTGATTGCTTAATGGAAAACCCAGGGCAATACATTGGGGGAGACCACCCTGTAGGTTCCAGCAATGTTAAGGTAGTATTCCCAGTAGTTTACCAGCAGATACCATCTTTGGGTTTCAGGAACAAAAATTAGAACTCTTGAGAAGTTTCAGGAATTCCCCAAATCATAAGTTATTCTTTAAGTGTTTCTAAAATTAATTATACTCTTTACTCACGGATATCTAAAAAGCTGTATAATAAAGAAGAAATATTAAGCTTAGTCGTATTTATGAAAACAATAGTCTCAGCAAATACTCAAACACTAGCAAACATTGCTGCGCATTATTTAAATAATGTAACATTCAGATCTCCTAGTGAGAGGTTAACAGCACTAGTCAGAATCATATATTGAAATTGCTTAAGACATATTTTGCTCCCCAAATTTATTATTTCTTGGAACACCATTCCAAGATTTGTATAAAGTACACAGTGCATAAAAATGTATCAGAAATTAGTAAAATTCATTAATTATTATTTTATTTGCAACAATTACTCACCATTAGAGACAGGCAGGTCACAGACACTTACAACATGGCTATAGCTTATGGATGACAAACTGCTTAGATCATCACTGCTTTTCTCCTGAGTGTTCCTGTCCTGGTCTCAGAAACTATCACCCTTAACCTTGGACTCTATGTGTCAGTGGTTCCTGCACTCATGTTCCGTTGCACTTCAATGGATTCCTTCAAATCAGTAACATCTCTATGTCACTTACTGGGGGGAGAAGCTGGGACTTGGGGGTCACAGCCAGCCTCAGGACAAAGCACCTGCGGAAACAGGAAAACATAAGCCCGTCTTCTGCAATTTAGCCTTGGCTAGAAACTATATTGGAAACAGAAACCACCAGCCTCATTTAGGAGTTAATGAAGAACCTTTAAAGAATGAAGAACTTTGACAAGGTACTTGGAAAAGACAAGTCCTGCCCTTACGGTAATGACTTGTCAGAGAAAGAAGGAAAATGTTGGGAATATTGACACAACCTCTTAACATCAATTAAAGTGAAAACTACACCTATTTCTTATCTTGTCATAAAGTTGAGTTTCTGCCTAGGGCTTTTTGTTAAGAAGGCCAAACACCTTTCTGGTAATATTGAGAGATTTGATTTTTTTTTTTTTTTTTTTTTTTTGCAGTACGCGGGCCTCTCACTGCTGTGGCCTCCCCCGCTGCGGAGCACAGGCTCCGGACGCGCAGGCCCAGCGGCCATGGCTCACGGGCCCAGCCGCTCCACGGCACATGGGATCCCCCCAGACCGGGGCACGAACCCGCGTCCCCCGCATCGGCAGGCGGACTCCCAACCACCGCGCCACCAGGGAAGCCCGAGATTTGATTTTTATAGTCCCATGGACAGTAGACTTGAAATCTTGAGACAGGTTTGTTCCTTGAAACTACACTTATCAAAATGTTTGCAGGAAAAAAAAAAACAAACAAACTGTGTTTTTAAAATTATAACAACTTAAAGTCATGAGAAGTTGATTTATTCACCAATCCTACTGATAATTTTCACCAGGACATTACTGGCCTAACTCTATTTCATTTAATCTCTATAAAAGGACTTCGCAAGTTTCCTTAAAATTAGGAAATTAGCTAAAAGCACATTTCCTACTGTAAAAATGGATTACAAGGAAAATAAAAAGACTCTATAAGAGATTAAATTTAGAACTCCTAGAATCTCAATTTGTTATGACCCAGCCCTCAGCCCTTTAGCTCTTAGGTTTTGCACAAATGAGGAAGGTGCTTGTTCTAAAGAGCACTGGGATGTTTGAGGCTGGTGTGGATGATGCTTGGGGCCTGGAGAAAAGGGACCACCAGGCCCAGGATCCATGACCACAGCTTCAGGAGCATCTCTCTTGAAAAAAGTGCCAGAATTCAAGAGAAGCAGCAGTGCAAACACGAGAGGTAAATCGGGACACCTGTCCTGTCTCTTTAATCTCCTTTCCTTTCCTCTGGGGCAGTTCCTCAGTCTGTCTTTTTTTATGACTGACGTTTATTAAGCAAAAAGACCATTTATTTTGAAGAATGTCCCTCGGTTTGGGTTTAACTGATATTTCCTCAAGATTATAGATTCAGGTTCTGTATTGTGGGCAGGAATACCACAGAAATGATGTATTCTTCTGGGAGCATCATATCAGGAGGCACATGATATCGACTTTTGCTGTAACTGATGATGTTAATACTGATCATCTTGTTAAGATGGTGTCTGCCCGGTTTCTCCACCACGAAATTATTATTTTCCCTTTGTAGTTAATGAATATCTTTTGGGGAGTTACTTTGATACTCTGTATGTATCCTGTTTCTCATCACCCACTAGTTTTAACATCCATTGATAATTCTTGCCTGAAACAATTTTAATTACGGGGGTTGCCAAATAAATGTCTAATTCCATAATTTCTCCTACATTTATTAGTTGGCTTTCTACTATCAGAAAGAGCTTTACCTTTTCCCCCATTTATTCGTCCACCTATCTATCCATCCATTTATCCAATCACTCATCGGTATGGACTCATGGATTCTTATTTTATTCTGTGGCTCATAGTCTATATAATAAAATCACTGTTTAGTTTAATGCTCAAGTTGTCTTAGATTTGGCCAGTGGGAGCCCCTGGAACCTGGCTGCTGTAGTCTGTGACTTGTTCCCATCATTCTTTGAGAAGTTCCTTATTTCCCAACACGGGAAAATGTCCCAGTCCCCAAGCCCTAAAATCGGCTATTTCTCCAGGGAGCCCTAATTCCTTTTACTGGAAAATATTAAGAAACCAAGATCTGGATGCTAGATGCTAAGTGTTCTCAGAGGGTATATGTGCATTCAGTTAAAATATCAAAATATAGTTAAGTTCACTTGTTTTTATTTGTACTCCATTTGGGGTTTCCTCTAACCTTATTGGTTTTACCGTATGTGTGTTTTGAGCATATGAAATATAACGTGGTTCTAAAAGGCTACAATTATAATTGTAGTTTGAAAAGTGTCACTCCCCTGCCACACCCCTTCGATCCTGTTCCTATAGCCAATCCTTTCCACCCTATTTCCAGCCACCACCACCCATTTGTAACCAACCTCATTAGTTTCTGGTTTATCATATGCAGATTAACCAGAAATGAACAGATACATGTATCTTTCCCCCTCATTTCTTACCTAAAACACCCATACTCTAGACTGTTTTTCTTCTTTCACACTGGAAATCACTCCATATCCATTCAAAAAATGGTCCTCATTCTTTTTTATAGCTGCACCCCATTGGGTGGACCACCCTCTGATGTTTGAGCCTACGGTTTGTTTCCAACATTTTACAATTACAATCAATACTGCAAAGAATTATTTTGTGCGTAAGTATTTTCTTGTTTTTGGAGCTGTAAATACCTAGAGGTGGAATTACTGGCACAAATAGAAAATGCACATATAGTATTTTTAGATATTGCCAAATATCCCTCCCAAAAGGACTGTACCAGTTTGCATCCCTACCATCAAAGTATGAGATTGCCTGTTTTCCACAGCCCTGCCAACTAGAATGTGCCATCATATTTTTTAATTTTCACCAAGTTAACTGAGAAATGATCTCAGTACAGTTTAAATTTGCATTACTCTATGAGTGAGGCTAAACATTTTTTCTTTTGCTTAAGAATATTGTGTCTTTTGCCCATTTTTCTGTTGGGCACATGCTTTTATTAAACCTTGGCTATGGACTGCATTTTCCCTTCAACATGCTGGGCAGAAGCTAGAAGTTCTACGTTTGCTTAACATTTATCCTCTTCCTTAATTTTTGCACCATAAAATCTTAAATTGTAGTAACGCTTTAGTCCTTGATATGGGCATGGTCACTGCGAAAATTTTATCAAGCTGGATATTTATGACTTGTACATTTCTTATTTGAAAAACTCTTAGCTGATTTAATTCTGCACTCAATTATCAGTGTCTTGTCTGCCTAATGCTTAAAGGAAGCCTGGTAATTCCCAGAATCATACCCAAGTAACCCTCACGTGAAACTAAGAGCAAAAGGTGACCCTCTGGAGAAAGGACATACTTGAAAGGTGAACCCAACAACACAGCACACACAGGGTCATCCTACTTCCTCTCCCACCGTGATGCTCACTCCCACCAGCCCCTAAGACCTTGCCAAAGCTGGCACCCCTAGACAGATCCACCTAACTCACCACTTACAGGAAAGGATTTATCCAGTGGGCAGCAGTAAGGACCCCTGGTCTTTAGTATTTACCTACAATCCCTTCTTTGTTTCCCAACAAGTGATGCCTCTCTGTTTCAAGCCTCATTTTCTCCATAATTTTCAGGGATGGTAGAAGGAAACAGGCAATCAAGCCTATTAAATGTTATAAGCTCCTTAGAGAAAGACTGAGAAGGACTTGGATTTTTCCACCATTCTCATGTACTAGGCAGAGTGGGATTGGTTCGTTAGGTGTGTTCTCTCCTATCCTCAGCCCCTGGAGTCTCTGTTATGGGAGAGATGGGGTAATCCAAAGAAAGCTGCTGTGAGGGGATGGATGGAGGGATTTTTTAAAAGATTACGGGTCGATTTGCTGCACCTTTCAGGACAGTCCTGGCTGAAGTCATAGTAAACACACACACACACACACACACACACACACACACACACACACACACCCCCTCTCTCTCTCCCTCTCCTTCACTTCGAGCAGCACTGGGGGCAGAGCCCATTCCTGTGGCAAGAACCCAGGCTCTCTGACGACCACTGGGCGTTGGTTTGACCCCCAGTTTCTGACTGTGTACTGGAGCGTCCACACGTGTGTGGTGCAGGTCTGCAGAGCAAACATGTAGCCACCTGAAGTGTACCTCTTTGTCTCCAGACATCATCTGGTGGTTCTGTTTAGGACGGCTCTTCCCTGGATGGAAGGAGAAGTGAAGGTATTGAAGCGCCCTGGTAGAGCATCATCTCCCTGCTGTGCTCAGAGAAAAGCCCAAGGGCTCCCTCAATCCTCTGCGAGTCATCCAGTGGAGAAACGAAGCCGAGTGCTGAGTTAGATCACCCGATACTTTCTCTCCTAGTCCCACCGCAAATTAACCCCAGACCCGGGAGTAAAAATGCTGTGCTGGGTTCCTATGTTCTCACCCGTATCTCCTGAGCTGGAGGCATCAGGTCAGCATGGCTGGCAAGACAGGGTGCAGCTTGAAGAGCCGTGGCCCTTCTGCACTTCACCTTCCTTCTGCGTCTTCATCCCTGAGCCCGTGAAATACAACAGAACTCTCCCCCACCCCACCGCCTCCTCAGCAAGGGACTCCACTGGTGGGACTGGAGTGCAAGCTCTGTTCAGGACTCTCAGTCCATTTTCTCCACCTGTTTTCTCTGGGGAGGGAGGCAGTTCCTGCCTTCCCTGCTGTGGGAGCTTCACCAAGGTTTACTGCTGGAAACATTAAGGGCGTTAAAGCCAAAGAGTCTGGGTTGGATCTCTGCTCCACTGTGAAGAGAGAGATGTGGGCAAATTACCTAAACTAAGTCTCAATTTCCTCATCTCTAAAATGGGTCTAGAGTTGATGTTGGGGTTAATATTTATTGAGCTCTGTGCCTGACATGGAAGATGTGCAATAGATATTAGTTCATCTCCATCCCTCCCCATCCTAACGGGGAATGGGGGAGGGAGGGCATCATTCTCTGTGCTCCCTTGTGCCACCTCCAACGCCCCCGGCCTCTTTGCTCCTTATCTGCTCACCTTGACACTGACAGTCATGCCATCTGTCCTGTTCCATTCTCCTAACTCTTCCCTCCCCATGCCCCTCTCCACCCCTTTGCAGGAGTCTACCTTAGTGTCTGGGTGAAGTGTTCCCCTTTACCCTCAGAGCTCACAGCATCCATGTGGACGTCTGGTGAGAAGCCCGGATCTCACAGCTCCACCTCGATGACCTCTCCCCACCTCATGCTTGCTTAACACCAAGCAAGGCTGCAGCTCTACATCCAAATCTCTGCTCCCTCTCTGACCCCGCCTCCCTTCCTCTCATCTCTTCCAATCGCCAACGGCCCCCACCAACCCTACTCCCCCAATCTCACCTGCCCCCGTCCCTGGCCACCCTGGACTCCCTCTGGCCACCACCTCCCACCTCCCTGGGTGCATCCATCCAGTATCGGTCATTCAGGGCTGTCCTCCTATTCTATTGTACTTTTTTAAACATCTTTATTGGAGTATAATTGCTTTACAATGGTGTGTTAGTTTCTGCTTTATAACAAAGTGAATCAGCTATATATATACATTTATCCCCATATCTGCTCCCTCTTGCGTCTCCCTCCCACCCTCCCTATGCCACCCCTCTAGGTGGGCACAAAGCACCGAGCTGATCTCCCTGTGCTATGCGGCTGCTTCCCGCTAGCTATCGATTTTACATTTGGTAGTGTATATAAGTCCATGCCACTCTCTCACTTCGTCCCAGCTTCCCCTTCCCCCTCCCCGTGTCCTCAACTCCATTCTCTACATCTGCATCTTTATTCCTGTCCTGCCCCTAGGTTCTTCAGAACCTGTTTTTTTTTTTTAGATTCCATATATATGTGTTGGCCTACGGTATTTGTTTTTCTCTTTCTGACTTACTTCACTCTGTATGACAGACTCTAGGTCCATCCACCTCACTACAAATAACTCAGTTTCGTTTCTTTTTATGACTGAGTAATATTCCATTGTATATTTGTGCCACATCTTCTTTATCCATTCATCTGTCGATGGACATTTAGGTTGTTTCCATGTCCTGGCTATTGTAATGAACATTGTGGTACATGACTCTTTTGGAATTATGCCCTCCTATTCTTGAATTGCCCACATCACTCGCACCGCTCCTTTCTCTGGGCCCCATTCCCAGACCACAGATCGCTCCTGGAGAGGGTCCACCAACTGAGCAGGCCTGGCCCCTAAAAAGTGCCTCAAGCAGTCTGGCCTCAGAACTTGGCTTACTCCATAGGGTTGCTCTTCCAAGCCTCCTTAGCATGCTTTTTCCTTCTGCCCCAGCCCTTGTCCCTCACTTTCACTAAATGCCTTTATTTTTCCCTTTGTCAAGAAGACCGTGCTCCCAGCCAATCTGGCCCCTCCCAAATGCCATGAGCAATCTCGGGGTACTGCTCAGGGGTGGCCTCAAAGGAGCTGCCCTGCCTCTGTCTCTACTATCGGCCCCCTGTGCTTGGAGCCCAGCCATCCTCGATGCCAGAGAAACAAACACCCTTCCTGTCTAACATCCTTCTCTTATTTCTCCCTCTTGGCAGATTCCTTTTCTATGACTTTAAATATATCCAAATGTCCAAATATTCGAGGTGAAAAAATGTTCCTTAACTCTATCATCTTTTTCAACCAGCATTCAGTGTTTTTCTCCCTTTCAGAATCAAACTTCCCGAGCAGTGAGGCAAAAACAGTGGATAAGATTCTGTGTTTGAACCCTGGATATTTACTATGCTATGTGACCTTGGAATATTATTCGACTTCTCTGTGTTTTAGTTACGTCATAGGTAAAGTAGAGCTAATGGTAACACTTCTCATAAGATTTGAGTAAGGACTAAATTAGGTAATGTTTAACCCAATGTCTGGTACATAATACGTACTCAGTAAATATTGGCAATTACAATTTATTGTGACCTTGCAGATAAAATCAATGGTCTTTTTTTTTTTCTTTTCTATTTTCTCTCCACTTCCATGTGACATGTACTTTGTCAATATTCCTTACATGTCTTCAGACTCTTCCCCTCTGGTTTCTCTTACATGTGTTCATCTGGATCTTATACATTTTTGGTTTGGTTTTTATTTAAGAGGTATGGCCTGCCACTTTTTAAAAGATTTTTTGATTCTTTTTCACTTGTACAAAAAGAATATGTGCTCATTTTTTTAGCTTAAGACAACACTGTCTATATGGCTTTTATACCCTGGTTTTGAAATTTAACATTATATCATGTGCATTTTCCAGTGTCATTCACTTTTTAGAAAACACACTTTTTGAGAATATAATTTGAATGACTATATAATATTCAGTTCAAGGGATGAACAAAAATCTCCCCTACTATTGGACATTTAATCTTTCCTAATATTTTGCTATAACTATTAACATATTTTCTATATTAATCTTGATCTACATTCTATATTATTCCTTAAATTATAATATTATCTTAGAATTAGCAGGCTTCCCTGGTGGCACAGTGGTTGAGAATCTGCCTGCCAATGCAGGGGACACGGGTTCGAGCCCTGGTCTGGGAAGACCCCACGTGCCGCGGAGCAACTGGGCCCGTAAGCCACAGCTACTGAGCCTGCGCGTCTGGAGGCTGTGCTCCGCAGCAAGAGAGGCCGCGACGGTGAGAGGCCCGCGCACCGCGATGAAGAGTGGCCCCCGCTCGCCGCAACTAGAGAGAGCCCTCGCGCAGAAACGAAGACCCAACACAGCCAAAATAAATAAATAAATAAATGTATTTTAAAAAAAGAGAGAGAGAGAGAGAATTAGCGCCTTAAAAGGAGGCCTAATCAATTTGGGGGTTCTGGTTAGTGTCAGACCTTTCTGGAGCTGTGCCCTCCAGCACGCGTGAGGGCCCTCCCTCAGGGATCTCTTCCTGGTCACTTCTCAAACCCAACTACGAGTGGCTTTCTCCTTCTCACGACCTCTCCCAGAGATCCTCTGCTGTCACTCTATCCAGAAGACCTCTGAACAATGACTGTCACTCAAATTCTCCATTATATCAGCTTTGCCTCTCCTCTCCCCTCCGTGCTCCTCATGTGAAAGTCCAGATACCTCAAACTGGCCTTCTCTCTCCAAACAAGTCCCTTCTCAGTCACTGGCACCATCTCTCCTGTGGTTTTCAGAGGTCAGAACCTCTTCTGGTTGACTCAAAACATTAATCATGGAATTGGAAGACAACAAAGGAATTATCGAGCCTTCCCTCCCTCTCAGTTCTGGGAAACATCTTTGGTAACTTTTTAGTAGAATGAATGTGCGATTTGTGTCTACAAAGAAAGCAGAGCACAAAAGGGACCCAAGATTCCAGCAAACAACATTTTCACATCTGAAAGAGCTGTGGTCCTAAGGGATAAGATGGGTGTGAAGAGATTAGATGGAATGAAGGGACTTAAACCTGACTTGAAATCAGGTAGTGCACCGTGAGTGACATGAGTGTCTCCCTCTTTAACTTTTGGAATTCTTGACATAGTGATAATACAGAGGGACCCAGCCTGGACATCAGAGTGGTGGGCTGAATCCCCCTGCATGTCCCGCAGCTCCAGATCTCACACCAGCCAAGATCTCTATTCTATCAGCGACTTCAACCCGCTAAGAAAGTAAGTGATCTTCCAAAATTCTCTTGGAAAGACAACCTTCAAAACGTTTGGGATGTCATCATTGTTTCTTCAGCGTAAGTACTATCTGGAGATTTAGGATAAAGTTGAGATGTGAAAGGAATCAAGCACATAATAATTGCTAAAGATTCTGTGTACATTTACTATTTTTAAGTACTTACTATGTTTAAGAAAAACTGTCTTACAGATTAACCTTTTGATACCAATTTTTAAATGTGCAATTAAATAAGTCTGTGATTGTATGTTGAAATTTTACTGGATCGCAAACACTTTTGAAACATTTAACAGAACTTAAGAAATCATTCAGTTTAAAGTCAAGATAACTGAAGTTCTTAAAAAAGAAAATTTAATGTATTAAATTTATAAATACAGTCTGTAATGTTTAAGGGAATTTATTAAATTGAAAAACCCCTTTAGAGTTCTCATCACAAGAAAAAAAAATTGTAACTGTGTGTGATGATGAAGATTAACTAGACTTACTGTGGTACTTATTTTGCAATATACATATAAATCATGTTATTATGCTGTGCACCTGAAATTAATATAATGTTATATGTCCATCATATCTAAATAAAAATAAGTAAATAAATCAAATACTACAAATAACTTTATACTCATAAGTTTGAAGAAGTGGAACAGGTCCTCAGAAACCATAAACCACCAAACTCAATCAAGACGAAATAATCTGAATAGCTCTATATCATTTTTTAAAAATTCAACTCATAATTTAAAAGGTTCTGGAAAAAAAAAATCCAGGTCCATATGGCTTCCCTAAAGAATTCTGGCAAAAATTTAAAGAGGGACTAACACCAATTAAAGACAATCCCTTCCAGAAATTGGTCTCTTCTGTAATATTTGTCAACATGACTAATTTTATCAACAGAAAGAAGGAACACTTCCCAACACACTTTATGAGACCAGTATCAACCTGATACTAAAAACGAAGACAGTATCAAAACAAAAACAAAAAAAAACTGCAGACCGTTATCTCTAATGAACTTAGACAAAAAAAAAAAAAAAAAACTTCAACAAAACATTAGCACAACTGTTCACATAGGTGCCTACATATGTTTTCCTGGAGACAGTCCATAGCATTCCTCAAGGGGTTATTAGCTTTAAGTGAGCAACTGCTGTTAGACTGTCCATGTCTCTTACAATGTGAACCTAAGCTAACACAGCACCAAGATGCTCAGAGATAGATTCACAAACAAAGCATTACCCCCCCTCTCCCTCAGGACATCCCATTCCTGCCCACGTGGCTTAGGAATGCAGCTCCAACACACAGTTAATGCACATGTAGACGTGGTCACAGCCACGTCCCTCACACCGCTGTCATGTGACTTCTGCTAGATTCCCTCCACCGTGTTCTTAGTCAATTGATGATGATGTTAAATCAGGGCTTTTACATCAGTGCCTGTCGAATTTCATTCTAGTGCTCCAGACTCTCTGATTATCATTAATAATAAGGCTAATCACAACAGCTAATAGTATCGAACGCTTTCTATGTGCCCGGCACCATGCTAAATACTTTACATATGTTATCCCATTTAATCATCTCCAAAGGCTCGTAAAGTAGAAACTATCATCTCCACTTTAAGAGATGAAGAAACTGAGTCTCAGAGAGGATAAGAAAATAGCTAAAAGTGACTGAACTAGGATTTGAAGGCAAACTCTTAACTGTTAAGTTACAACACATTCCAATATCTTTTCCCCTTGGCCACCCCGCCTTAGTCAACAGACTCAGTATTTCATGCCCAGGCTAGAAAATGTTCTAGTCTTTTCCCTA